CTTATGGCGAGAGGTTCTGGTGCGAATGGACCGGAGCCTCCTGCCTGAGGGGAGCAGGTCAAACAGACTGTGTCCAGGGTGAGAAGGGTCAGCTGAGATCCGATACACATTAGCACATTTAAATTTCTCCGCACATATTCTGAAATTTTCACCTCCTTTTTTTTTTTTAAATTAAACTGCTTTTAACTTTTTTAACAGTTACATTTTCTCTTAACTGCATATTTTAGAATTTAGACAAACTTTTCTAAAGAACCCCCCCCCGCAAAAAAAAAAACCCCAAAAGATTTCCTATGACTAGTTTGATATTTGTGATTTCAAAAAATCAGGTTAGACAACGTATACTTATAAAATGTCCCGGGGAGACTGTACCTCAAAATTGTATCTGTACTAATTTGTTTGTTATATAGGCAAATAATGCCAGGGGGATCAGTGACCTTCTCTTGGGGGGGGAAGTGTTTTGTATCATTTGCTGAAGTCTAATTGCTCAGCAACTTCTGCCAAGATCTGTGAAAGCTTCTTGATTCTTTCTTCTGTCGCCATCATGAGCTGAACTGGAATTGGTAGGTTGATTGCTTGTTCTTCTATCTTCTTCAGGGTCAGAACTCGTTCCTCCCAGCCTGGTTTGGTCTCTGATGTTTCTCCATTAATAAGCAGGTCGATGTACTCTTCAGTGGAGAGAGGGTTTGGCTTCACTGATATCTCTCTCAGTCTGTCCAGACACTGAGCAGATTTCTGCAGTAGTGTCTTCACCTCATTTCTCAGAAGATGCTCTTCATGCCTCAGGTTTGATGTCAGTCCTTCAACAACTGTCTGATCTTTGTTGGTTTTTGGATATTTTTCTTTCAACTCTTTCACTGTTTGTTTCTCTCTAACCTCCCGATATTCCCATTTGTACTTCTGTAAAAAATGTACATTAATGTGACATTTGCCTGGACACTCAGTGCAGAATCCATGTGATCCCTCTTCTTCACATTCTCCTTTCTCTGAATCCCTGGATGTTGAGGAGGGATAGTAACAGGTGACATGACACTGCTGACAGTTAATGAAGACGTTTCCTGTACCAGAAATACGAGCTTTATAAGGCTTCATGACAGCGACTGTAAACTCAGGGTTCTTATTTCTGTTGATTTCTTCGCCGTGTTCACCAAGTTTTTGTCTTGTGTTTT